AGAAACACAAATACCTGAGGGTGGGACACATCCCCAGCACGGAACAAACATGGAACTGGGATAGAAAATTGGGTTTTTCAGGCATTTTACTGATAAATGAGTCAACTATTCCCCTACACTTTGGCTTGACCAGATCAGTTGGGATCTGGCCAGAAGAGCTGCAGTAACCCCTGACGAGGAGCAGGTTAAGCTGCACAGACCTTAGCACTGGGGTTTTTTATGAGAATTTTAAAATAAAACCTTCTTTCCTGTCTTGTCCTTCTAATCCACAGCCTGGAAAGCCCCCCACACACTGCCCATGTGGGAATCCTTCTGCCACCAGCAGAAAAAAGCCACCAAATCCATCAGAAATCCACTGAAACCAACAGCAATTATTGCTTCTGCCACAGACCAAAATGGGTAAGAAGGTTAGCTCTGGATTCTGTTGACTCAATCCATCTCAAAAGCTCCTTCCAAGGCTCAAAACACACAGGATTTTTCCCTCCAGAGCAGCCCAAAAAGCATGAAAATGTCATGATTTATCCTTCCCTTCCAACTCCACCACCTTTATCCCTACTCCAGGATTGTCTCTGCCCAAACAAGGAGCAACCACGACTGAGTGACAGGATGGATCCCAGCTAGGGCTGGAGCTGACATATGGATTTTACTCCCTTTCTTTCCATGTATTATGACACAAATATCACTTCATGTTTACTTGTACTGTTTGGATTGTGCATAAACACAACACAAGGCCCTGAAGCAAGAACAACCTCCAAAAGGAGAACAGAAGAGTGCACAAACAACTCCACACTAACAAGTGTCTTTCAGGAATATCTTGTCAGGGTTTAGCTTGAAAAAGCAAAGCAGATTTTCAAAAGGAAACTGGAGTTCCATCAAATATTCACTTCACGGCAGCTTGGACAAGTTTAAGCCAGGACTTGGATCCTTTAGGCTGGAGCTGGAAAGCTGTGGCAGACACTGATCTTGGAGTCTGTCTCCTTGCTGCTTCCACACTCCTTGGTGCTTCTCCTCCAGGTCCTGAACCAGTTGCAATCCAACCAGTTGGTGCTTCAAAACATGTCCTGTTGCTTATCTGAGCTCAAAGTTCAACCAGCTCAGCTGGCAGTGAGGTGAGAATTCCCAGAAGAGCCTTTTTGCCCTGCAGCACAGCTCTTAGGAGCAAACAGCACATCCAGGCCTTGCTCAGGGGGAATCAGCTCTGTGGTTGAACCACAGTGGTGATAAATTCAAGGACTTCCTACTGGGTATCTGGGATGTGCCAGAGTGGAGCTGGTTTAGATCCACCTTCTCACCCCAAACTCACCACTCCTTGCCCACAGGTTGGACATTCCTCTACCTGGCAAAGGGAAGGTTAGTGTCTCCCTGAAGCAGTGAGTTGCAACCACCACACCAAGTCAACATGGCTTGGGTGACCCCCATGGCTCAGGGCAG